GTTTCTTCTTGTCATTTACGAACTCACTTGCATTAACACATATGGGTCATTTAATGTTCATTTAGTGTCATAGCTCATTCACTCATTCACTGCCGTGTTATAACACAGCGCTTTCTGTGTGCACATCCACTGTGCTCAGAAACAAATTATCCATCAATTTCATTTGTTTTCTGGATTATGCCCAGTGGCATTGTTTTTTTTGTGTGTGTTTTTTTTTTTTTGTTATTTTTTTTTTTTGCATTATATTTAGTTAGTCCACATGCTCCTTGTCACACACTCTTCTTTTTTTCTTTTGTGGAGATGTGAGTCTGGTCTCCCTGTTTTCATGAATCATTAGCTAATCAGGAACACATATGATCTGTCTGGATCAAAACAAATATGGCTGCTTATTAGGAAATAAGTAAGTGAAAAAAAATCACAAAGAAGTCATGGATTTCTGCAGAATGAATGACCAAAGCACTAACTGTTCATCTGACTGGAGGGAAATCCTTCATTTTGTTTGGAAATGTTGAGTAACCAGTGAGCTTCTTTGTTTCACGTGCGTCACTGAATCCCGATTGTCCTGGTTTGAGACGTGACAGAGGGCATGGGGACCACACTGATATCATCTGTATGAACACACAGAGATGTGCCAGGCCTGTGCCAAGGAACAAGTCAAACCAAACACTCCAGCATCTGAATGGTCCAAAGTCCTTTAAAGACCCATATGAATCTATTTTCTGATCTCTGTTCTAATGTCGTTTCCTCATCACAAACAGGCCTGGAGTTGTGTTTTGTTTCATTCACACGTTTATCACACAAACCCTGCAACGTTCAGCTGAGTGAACACTCACTGTGTTTTTAAATGGCACACACCTTCACTAGAATCATTTGGATGATTTCAGCCTCAAACTGCTAAATCTGTACTGATACTACTCACACAAATCCATTTAGTGTAATGTAGGACATGGTTGGCGAGGAGCAAATTCTTCAGTTCTGAACTGAAGAAGCAGCTTGGATGAGCTGCAAAACATCTTCAACTAACTTTTGTCCATTCGACAAACTGAATTTTCTCCTCGTCATGATTCTACCTGGACGACTGAGGGATTCTTCACACAACTTTATATAGTTCTCATCACCAGAGAAAGGCCACCCATACTCCCACCACACCCAACCCTCCCACCCTCACCCAACCCTACCATCCCACCCTCACCCAACACTACCATCCCACCCATACTCCCACCACACCCAACCCTCCCACCCTCACCCACACCCAACCCTCCCATCCCACTCTCACCCACACCACACCCATCCCACCCTCACCCACACCACACCATCCCACCCTCACCCTCACCCTCACCCTCACCCACACCACACCCATCCCACCCTCACCCAACCCTCCCATCCCACCCATACTCCCACCACACCCAACCCTCCCACCCTCACCCAACCCTACCATCCCACCCATACTCCCACCACACCCAACCCCTCCCACCCTCACCCAACCCTACCATCCCACCCTCACCCAACACTACCATCCCACCCTCACCCAACCCTCCCATCCCACCCATACTCCCACCACACCCAACCCTCCCACCCTCACCCAACCCTCCCACCCTCACCCAACCCTACCATCCCACCCTCACCCAGCCCTCCCATGCCACCCTCATCCACACCCAACCCTCCCATCCCACCCTCACCCACACCCAACCCTCCCATCCCACCCTCATCCACACCCAACCCTCCCCATCCCACCCTCACCCACACCCAACTCTCCCATCCCACCTTCACCCACAACCCACCTCTCCCATCCTACCCTCATCCACACCCAACCCTCCCATCCCACCCTCATCCACACCCAACCCTCCCATCCCACCCTCATCCACACCCAACCCTCCCATCCCACCCTCACCCACACCCAACCCTCCCATCCCACCCTCACCCACACCCAGCCCTCCCATCCCACCCTCACCCACACCACACCCACCTCCCCCTCGCCTACACCACACCCTTCCCACTCTCCTCCTCCACACACCTAGTCCTCCTACGCACCCTCACCCACACACCCAACCCACCCTCACCCACACCCTGTTCCGTGTGACTGTCCTCCGGTACACTGGGAGGGTGTGTGATGATTTCACAAAAAACCCAAGTTTCCCAATTCCCAGGGAAAGAGGCGAGTGTCCAGAGGAAGCTCTGGAGCAGGATCAGTGGAACAACAGGAAGCGCAGGCGAAAGCGCTAATTGGACGGTGTAAAGACTAGCACGGAGGTTTGAGTGGAGACACAAACATCCAGACAGCCCATTGTAATCAGACTCCGGAAGAGACGCACCAGGAAGTGTCTGCACTGATACAGGCTCATGATATGGGCTCATGGCACAGGCTCATGGCACAGGATCATGGTACAGGACCATGATACAGGCTCATGATATGGAGTAACGGTTTAGACTCATGATACAGGATCATGTACAGACTCACGATATGGGTCATGATATGAGGTCATGAACCAGGGTCAGGGTATGGGCTGAATGCACAGGCTGGTTAGAGCCTAACTGATGGGGTACGAGGGGTGGAACCTAACATAATACAATTAGTAACATACTGTACTTAATAAAAACCTTTGGTATCTGTACCTTACTTAAAGGGCCCATGTTTTTTCATTATCTCTGTTATAAAGAAAAAGGAAACATCATTCTAACATGGACAAACCTCTTGAGAGTACATTTTGTGGCACTTTTAAGTATGTTTTAAAGTGTATAAGCACACAAATCTGTAAAATCACAACATTTGAAGCTTTATTACATCTATATCTATGTGTTTTTACTCTTTAAGTAAATTTTTAAAGTGGTACTTAAATACTATAGTTAAGTATAGATAAGTAAATGTGTGATGTGCTTCATGTGATACTGTTACTTGAGTTTTTTTTTCTTTTTTTTTTTCTATGGTATCTGCACTTTTACTTAAGTAACAGAATGGAGTAATTCTGTGTGGTAGGGGCACGTCAGTGAGCCACACCACACGGGGGCGCCACTCTACTATCACGGCATTGGGCAAAGGTGTGGGTCAAGTATCACTGACACTGCTAATGCTGGCCAAGCGCCCCCTGCTGCACATTTAAAGCCCTAAAAAGAGAGTCAAATAAACATTCTTACGTTTTTTCATCACATTATTTCTTTATGAATATTTCGAATGCAGTCAAAGACACATCCATGGAGTCATGCAGGTGATTCCATGGAAGTGTTGCTTTAATGACTATTTTATATTTTAGAATATGACTTTTTACTAACCTTTTGTATATAATGTCCATTTTGTCGGTTGTATTAAGCTTTTTGTCGGTTGTATTTAATGCCTTGCCTGTAAACTGCTGTAGTAAGATATAGCTCATACTGGTGTGAAACATTTTCCACTTTTTCTGAGCTTATGTCTCTGTACATTGTCCCTTCAAATAAAGACTCAGTTTAAGTAAAAGTATTATTTGTATTATTGTCTGAGACCTGCTGAAAGGGGGGAGGGTTTATTTTTAATGTAAGTAGTTTGAGCTAAAAAAATAAATAAATAAATAAAATAAATAAAATTATTACATTGCTTTGTTTTTCAGAATTCAGCACAATTTTTTTCTCATATTTAAAAATCACTACATTTGAAGCTTTATGAGATCTCAAAGCCTTTTATGTTTTACTCTTTAAGTACATTTTTAAACAGGTACTTAATAAGCTAGTACAAAGTCATTCTAATGCACTGCAGGACCTTTATGACGCACACGGCCTGTGTGGAGCTGTACTACCACATGGCACATACAGTATATACACATTAAAAAATCATCCTCATCCAGCTCGAGTATCTTTGCTGTGGACTGAGATGTCTGATGTTTTCTCCTGGGATCTGCTGTAGTCGTTCTCCACAACCTTTGGAGGTGTTTCCCACCCTGACCTTAGGGTCTCCAGTCCGTACTCTGCACAGATGTTTCTGTACACTGTGCCCGACACTTGGTTCTGTTGCTCCACGTATGTGCACTCTGCAACATCTTACACCCTGTAGTTATGTGATGGACTGTCTCAGGGGCCAGGATGTGGTCCTCTGTGCTGTTCTTCAGCCACTAGTAGGATTACTAGGGGCAAGGTAGGGTAAGTGTCTTGTCAAGGACACAACAGCATTCGTCTGTAGGACCTGGAATTGCACCACCAAACTTGTGGGACAGTGGATCAGACAGCTCAACCAAAGATGTTTATGTTGAGAGGGATTTGAACCGCCAACCGTCTGATCACTGGACAAGCGCTCTAAAAACTGAGCTACTGTCACCCACATGATGGTCCCTCCAGCACCTCTTCCTCTGGACCCACTGTCTGAGACACTGTCTGCGCACCTCATCTGTCGGGGCCTTGTCCTTGTCCTCAAGGAGCTTGATGTTTCATCCTGGACAGTGGTTCCCACACTCACTAGTCCTCGGCCTCCTACTTTCCAACTAGCGTACAGTCTCAGGGTGCTGGATTTGGAATGAAACCCTCCATGCATGGCCAGGAGCTTTCGTGACTTAACGTATCACACGAAAAATCAGTTTGTGATAGTGTAATAAGTAAACATATTTCATGCAGATTTTGAGGTCTAATAAAGCTTTAAATGTAGTGATTTTAATAAAGATTTGTTTATCAAAAACAAATATATTTTTATCTAGCTGTTCATTTTTTATTTGATGTTATATTTTTGTTTGCTTAAATTATGAACATGCTAAAAATAAACCATCAGCCTTTTCATCAGGTCTCAAACAATAATGAAAAAAATACTTTTACTTTTCAGTCCTGAAATGTAGTAGAGTAGAAAGTACAAATACCTAATCTTAAATATAGTGAAGTAAAAGTTAAAAGCATCCACTTTAAAATGTACTTCAGTATAGTACAAATACCTAAAAAATGTACGTAAGTAGTGCTTTATTACTTTTACTTTGTTACGTTCCACCGTTGTTTTTGTTTCTCCAGAACGCCAGAGGCGCTGTACGTGTCTGTGTCCGCGCGGGCGGCGCAGCACAAGCAGCAGAGGCGCCTTTACACTCCTGTTTCCTGTTTCCGGTTTCCTGTTCGCGGCACGTCTTTTCCACTTTCACAAAACACGTAAGAAAACCTCAGATCTGTGCACCTGTGCGCCCGGGCCATGGCCGCACCTGTACCTGTGCGTTTGTGTGCAGGTGCAAAGATGCAGTGCGCTGCGGGCTGGAGCCGTGTTAGCGCAGTTAGCGCAGTTAGCGCAGTTAGCCGCTGCACGCTGCGAGACGAGACACTTCCCTTTATCCAGGCAGCATCACTCTGACTCCAGTGTTTATGACAAGATTATATTTCTGCTATCGATTGCTCACTACGTGAAACGAAGCCTTAAATTCATTAATTTGTTTAAATGTGCACAGTGGAGCTTTGTGTAGATCTGTTGCTTTTCCGCAGATGCTTTTCATGCTTTTCGGTCCCTTCCTGATTTTCGGTCCCTTCCTGATTTGATGGACCGTGTGAGGAGCTTTGTCCATTGAGAAGATCTCATATTTTCATTAGAATTGCTTAATTGCTGAGTCCACGAAGGACGGCCGCCATAGTTTGAAACGTAAAGGACTTTTGCCTGAAATCTTCAACAGTATGTAATTACTCCTGCCAGTCACCATGGAGACCAGCAGGTTGCACCACCAGGTGACTTTCCAGGTCGTATCTGCGGAGAGGCTTACATTAAGAAAACATCAAGGCATTTGATAAGCAATGAAAACACAGGTCTGCAAGTTAAAGTGAGTTGAAGTTTAATGCCACACTGCAGAACAATCTGGGGAGGCAAGGCACTAACATCTCCATGGAGATGAGCAAGTGGCAAATCCAGAAAAGGTCCCACAGGGCACCTTTCATTGATTATGACAACATGAACCTGAGAAACTGTATTATGTGACTAATTATAATGTCTGCTGTGTCATCTTCAGAATGCCCAAATCCAAGGAGATGCTTTCATCCACATCTGGGAGTGACTCAGACAGTGAAGTGGAGACTAAGGTCTGTATACAAGCACATGGACCAGGCTTCTACCTTAGAGTTGTCAAAAGGATTGAAAAACAGATACTCACTAATACTAAAACTAGTTTAGATTTGATTTGAGCAGGTATCAGTACTCAAAAATTCATGGGACAAAAATGAACCTTTTCTGAATGTGTTTAGAATGAAGTAGAGTTGTATCAGAACAAGTTTCAGAGCACATAAACTAGTATACACACATGGACCAACATGAACCTACTGCACTACTGAAGGATTGATGAGACCACATGGGAATAGAAAAGAAAGTACAAAGACTGCTGTCACTTTAATGGACCACTGTAATGTGGAAAATCACATTGTTGTCTAATGAGAGTGTTTTTTATTATCTTATCGTATCAGTATTGTGTATCAAGTGTATTCCTTAGTATGGACATCTGCATCCACATGACCAGCTCATTGTGGCTGTCCTTATTGCCTCTTCCTGTTAATTAGTGTTCACAGTTATATCATTTTAACATGTTAGCAACCATAATGTAAACTACAGTGAAAAACTGTTTAAAGTATACAGTAGGTCTGTTTAGACTAATACAAATAAATGGCAACACCTTTATTTTGTTAAATGAATGTTTAGACTGTCAGAAAAATGCTTTCCTTAAATTGTCTGCATTTTGGAAGTTTCTGTGTTGATGACATAGGTTTCAGAACTACTTCCTGTGTTTTTGTACATTTCTTTTCAGCTTTTCTTCTCAAATTGCTTTTCCACTTGACTGATATCATGATAAATATTTAGCACAGGTAGGCACTTTCTGCCACGTATGCCACCCTCTGTCATCGTGTATCTGATTGCTCAGTGTTAACAAATGTACTAAAAGTTGGATTAAAAACCATCTCTGCCTGTTACAAGTCTGTGAAGAGTCACTGAAAAGTGTTTTGATAGGGCAGTCTGCACCACACTGGATACTGGACATACGGGACTAGCAAGAGACTGGTATCAATAAGACATAAATTATATAAATGTATGTACAGTAAGTAAAACACAAATATTGTAATACAAATACAGAAAACAGTGTTGAAAAATGGAAAACACCGTTTCTTGTGATGTCATGTCATAATAAGTCCTCCTTGGATCTTATAGTTGCATGACATTAAAGTGGTCCTTGTGTGTTTTAGGCAAAGAAGAAGAAGAGCAGTGCATCAGAGAAACCAGCTGCAAAGAAGCCAAAGACTGGAGAGAGCTCCAAACCTGCAGCTGCATCCAAGAGCAGCGGCAGCAAAAGCGAGGACAACATGTTCCAGGTCAGAACAAGCATCAGGCCAGTGTGAGCCTGGCCACACACTGTACACAGGGGCTATTATGCAAAACTTTTTAAAGCTTTCTATTATGTTTTAATTGTTTCCTCATTACAAACATTACAAACGACATGCTTGAATCGATCGAGTGAATCATGTATCGTATCGAATAGTGAGCAACCCTGTGATTCCCAGCCCTATCCATGCATGTTTATCTAATGTAGGGGAAGATTTGAAAGGGAAACTTATTAAACATGTTAATACATTGTTTGGGCAAATATAAAAGGTAATATGGTTATCTCAATCTGTTATGTGTTAACAGTCAAATCCCTACTCTTTAAGCTCGTGTTTATCTGTGACTCTTAACATGTTCAGCACCAACAAACTACCATGCACAAATCTATGCAAAACTTTGGGGGCAGGAGTGCTACTTGGATATACAAAAAAATTGCAGAATTGTCCTATTGGTGCTCTTCAGTGTAGGTACCAGTCTCTAATACAAAGTAGAAAAAACTGGGGCATTCAAAAAGTACAAAATAATTAAAAGCCTTTAATATCACATGGCAGATAAAGTTAAGATTACGCCAATGCGTTTTGGCCCTTCGGCTTCATCGGGGTAAAATCTATATGACCATGTTTGTCCTTCATCAGGATAAACTCCAGATGGATATCACAGTACAGATTTGAAGTAAAGGTTTAGAATTTTTGCACTATACATCTCTGTATTAGGGATGGGCATGATTAATCGATTAATCGATAATTGATTATTAAGAATTTCATCGATTACGTTAATTTTAATCGACAAACCGAATGCAGGTTGCTGTGCGTAGCGTGACCAAACAGGGGTCTGTACATGTGTCTCTCTGCATCAGAAGGAGCGAGCAAACACAAACAGTCGGTCAGTCTGCAGCGTATCGAAGCACAAATGCGTATTTAACGATGATTTGTACAAGAAATTCCACGCTTTCCGTTGCGTTCGGGACAAGTGTGAGTCCATGTGCACAGTGTACAAAGCAAGAACATATGTTTCAGTGTCCAGTGGGAAAAAGTTTTGCCAGGTGAGAGTCGCGCAATGTCGATGACGAGTCCCAACCTCCCACCTCCCGTACGGTGTCCTGGTTTTGACAAACGCAAATCTGGTCACACTAACCTGTATTCCACTGAGTCATGTCTTTTAATCCGACAGAAGTTGACCGCATCAGCGACACAAGAGCTGTAGTTTTATCTTCGCTGAGTTTATGCAAATTAGCGATGCGGTTTTAAGTTTCGTTTCTGTGAGAGTTGCGCAAAACTGAATTAAACACATAATTTCAAATGGATTGATGTGGCTCTAGAGTCGTTACGGTTTATATGTCGTAAAGTTTAATTTATTTATGCTCATTAGTAGTGCAGATAGTAATAATAATGATGATCATTTTAATATAAAAACGTTAATGATTAATCGATAATCGATCGTTAATTCTTCCGACGATCGATTAAGAAAATTTCATCGAATGCCCATCCCTACTCTGTATCTTTCTATGTATCGATTGTTGGGATTTGTACTATTTATATCTTGTATTATATTTGAACTTAAATATCTTGTAATTAAAATCTGTTCAGCCTACATGTCCCATCATGCACCAGGAGACTGTGAGCCAGTCCACTGTGAACATGTGACCTACACCTATTACTTTAAATCTGTACTGTGATATCCATCTGGAGTTTGTCCTGATGAAGGACGAAGGGCTGAAATGCGTTAGCGTGAGTTTACCTTTATCTGTCATGTGGTATTAAAGGCTTTTAATTATTTTGTACCTTTTGAATGCCTCAGTTTTTTCTACTATGCACAAATCTATATTTCTCAATTTGAAAATGAAGTTATTTATTAACATACTGTGATACTAATACTGTGATAGAAACTAGTGCAATAAGGCATATGATATTAGTGAGTTTGTGATCATATTTAAGTCATCTTATTTGTCCACATTTTGCCCTGTTTTGGGTTTGATCTCTGTTAGACATTTGTAAATTAATTAAACTGAACAGATGCTGAGTCAAATTTATTCAAATATTGCACATCTGTATACAGCAGCTGTACATAGTTGTAATTTATAAGTAAAATATAATGGTCTAATGTTGAGCAGCCCCTGTGCTAAGCAGTCAGAATGACTGGACTGTGTAGTGAGGCCTGGTGACATTAGCAGTCCCTTTTACAGAATGTGTTGAGCAGATCTCATGACAGTTGTTTTTCCAGATTGGAAAGATGCGGTACGTGAGTGTGCGTGACTTCAAGGGGAAAGTCCTCATTGACATCAGAGAGTACTGGATGAACCAGGATGGAGAAATGAAGCCGGGCAAGAAAGGTGAGCTCTGCCTGTGTTCCTAAACACTGGTGTGGAGGGCCGAAACCGGCAGAACACTGGTGTATGGGGCTGATACTGGCAGAACACTGGTGTATGGGGCTGATACTGGCAGAACACTGGTGTATGGGGCTGATACTGGCAGAACACTGGTGTATGGGGCTGATACTGGCAGAACCACTGGTGTAGAGGGCTGAGTGTGTTAGTGAGAGGTCACCTGTTCGTCTGAACCAGTTATATAGAACTAATGGCTTTAGAATCAGTTAGATTTGATATACTATTTAGAGGAAGTTGTGTCTATTTTAAAGGGCATAATCAAAACGGTGCTTGAAGCCTCCCCAGTAAAAGTCAATAAGTGATGTTTGTGTTTCAGGAATCTCTCTGAACCCGGAGCAGTGGAACCAACTGAAGGAGCAGATCTCAGACATTGATGATGCCATCAGGAGGACATAGTTCTCTCATCTCTCACCTTTCACTCATAGATTTCCATGTTTGTGTTTGATATGTGTAGATTTTTGTCCTGTTGGGGCTATCGTAGCGGCTGTGTGACAGTCCAGTCTGTGTTGCGGTGTGAATGGATGCTAATTATTACACATGGGTGTGGGGAGGAACCCCAAGTTTTTTTTAATAAAGTAACACGTTCGACAAAAGTGTGTGCTTATTCCACCATTCCAGGACAGTTCCCTGGTGTCTCAGTGCTGTTCATGTTCACTTCTTTCACCTAGACTGGGCTCTAAGATGTTTCATCAAGACAATGGACAACTCTCATAAGACCATATGGTCACCGTCCGCTGTACTGCTTATGAGTACTGACTGACTGCCCGCTGTAATGAAAAATGTGATATTGTCCAAAGATAACACTTATATTCAAGGTTTTTTGATTTTAATATTTGTAAAAACACACATTGTATTAATCACAGATGTTGTCCAATGGAGACAGCAATGGACACAAAAATGCAGCAATGATTCCCAAATGTAATGTATGTCACAAGGCAAGTGAGACACAGCTCTTTAAGATGGAGCAGTGTTGAGACCACAGACTCCGGCCCTTGCGGCTCAGAGGAGCTCAGGAGAGTAAGGCCTCGTGCACACATGAGGTATGTCTTATCACACTTTCATAATCACAGAAGAGAAACAAGGTCCCTTGCGGAGATCTGCCCACGCTGAAGAGAGGTCTGAACTAGACCTTGCTTGTACAGTCAACAGTTTGGCTTTATTTGAAAAGTATATAAAGGCCAAACTGTAGAACATTCCCGGTGATTACAAGAGGAACTCAGCTGTTATAAAACTTGTGTATAAATGATCGTGAACCAAACGTGCTCCCATAGCTGCTCTCCTACACACATACCATTTAAAGTGGACACAATGTAGGGGAATAAGTACGGTCATATTGTCTGTGCATCCCAAAGCAGCATCTCCATGGAGACAAGCAGGTGACCCTCTTTCCAGGTGGAATTACGAGTGAGATCTCACAGTAAGGACGGACATGTTAAAGTAGCTGTTACTGATTAGTACAACTAATTGTATGCTAATAATCCTTGTATATTAGTCTATATTTTGTGGCTAAGTGTTCCTCAGCAGGGCTTTAAGTACAGAAGAGAATTTATTTAATTTGATTCTAAATATAGCTGAAGAGACAGAGGTCCCGGGGCATATAATTAAGGAATCAAAGAAGTGCCTGAAAGGGGCTTTTGGTCAAAGCAGCTCTCCTCAGACCTCTGTTCAGTTTAGCAGACCTGCTCGTGGACAGGAGAGGTGTGTCCACAGTGTCTGACCCATTCATTACTGACCACATGAACAGACCAGTCAAACAGAACACACACACACAGTTTAATGAAGATGCTGTTGTCTGAGGCTGAGGTTGTCACACAATAAACGTTACGTCCATTTTGTTCACAGACCTGGTTAGTATGTAGTACGAAAATATACTCCACCATGCTCATCTTGATACTGGACATTAGTATGTTTAAAGATGCAGTATGAAACCTTTCTGGTGAAGAGTCTGCCACCAGCATGTCAGCAGAAGACGGTATTGCTTTGCTGGGAATGTTCCAAAGTATTAAAAGTGGAAATGCACTTTTTGCTACTAAACTTTGTAAATGGTGTTTAAACAGCATAGTCCCCTGTGCCTAGTCATTATTGGCAATTAAGATTCATTTGCATATTTGTGTTCCAAAACCTTAGTGTGTGCTGACCAAAGAGGCTGCGGCAATTGCCTGTCGCTGGTGACATCACACAGGACTGCCCTGTTTCTAGCCATCTGTTTTTGATTCTAAACACCTGGCTGCAGGAGCTCCAACTGTTAGACCAATCACAGACCCCCTCCCCCCTTTCTCACCTCCTTTAGTCCTCCAGGTAGTGCTCAGTTTGCATGTTGATTTGTAATGTGGTTGAGGGAGAAGTTTGGGTGTTTAGTCCCATTTTTAACTGACTCCACCAGGCCAAGTTGCAAGTCAGATCTGTTTTGTTTGTTTTTTTACATTTATTCTAACACTGTATTGACTGTATTGACACTCCAGGCAAAGCAATAGCATCTCCATGAGACAAGCAGGACAGATGAGTCTCTGCCAGTTTACATAGTACACCTTAAAACAGAAACTGGCTAAATGTCTAGGTCTGTAGTCACGTGTGGGTTAGAGTTCAAATCCAGATCAGGCCACATTCCAACAGTCCAGTGACACCCCCTACAAGTTCTCAGCCTGTCCAATGTGCCACAGCATAGCCCTGGTTCATCTGGTGAGGTTCCTCACAGCCACAGACTGTATAAAGATGTGGACTCAGGGAGTGTGATGTCATCACAGCGGCCAGTAGTTATCAAGTGTATTAGGAGCCAAGACCTATATTTGGAATTCCAACATTGAGTATCATAACAACCAATGAGACAATCTGGAGCAAGGCTATTGAAGGTAACTTCAAGCACCCCTGGTTTAGCAGGGGGTGGGTGTTTAGCAACGTTGTCAATCAAACCCATTTCTAATGCTGGCAGGAGCAACCTCACCTGACTGGTCTGCTATTAATGCTTATATCTTCATTTGCGGACAAAATAGTGAAATAAAAACACCAGGATCATGTAGACTGAGTTAATATGAACATTTAAGACCAAAATGAGAAACCTGACACAAAGAAGAGGGATGATATTTCAATATAAAGTGAATTGGTGCCAGAGTCAATGGAACCCCTCATTTCCTATTTGGAACCTGGTGCCATTTGGATTACCCACGTCCATTCAGATAAAGTCACAGACCTGGCACAGACCTGGTTCTTCTGGTGAGGTACCACATGACACACCTAGTTCCATTGTTAAGGGCCCACCACCCCACATGACATAGACCTGGTTCAGGTAATGAGGTCCCTCAGAACATAAGACTTGGTTTATTTTGTGAAGGCAGCCACCACGGCCCACAGCAGCTCGTTAGCATTGGGTTTGGCACTCTCGGTCTCTGGTTCCAGCTCTAGCAGCTGGCGGACCCTCTTCATGGCCAGGTCGTACTGCTCATCCAGTAGAGGGGCGAAGGCGTTCTCCAGCACGTCTGAGGAATGAGCTAAGAAGATGAGGGCCAGCAGCCTCTTGTCCATGCGCTGGGGCTCGCTCACCCACTTGTCCAGCACAGCCTCCTGCACTTTGCGGATGAGCCGGTGCTTGATGGTGCTGTTGGTGAGCGGATGTGTGGTCATGTCGAACAGGAGGAAGTTCTGCTTCTCGGTGGTCAGCACGCCCTTCTCCACCAGGTTCTTGGCCAGACGCTCACGCACATTCCTCAGCTGGTAGTGCAGCTTCAGAGGATTCCATGTCTCTCCTCAAAGAAGGCAACAACAACACAATGTTAGAGGTCTAACAGAAACTTTGATGCACACAAAAACCTGGGCTTTTAGAGGTCCTAGATTACACAAGACTCACTGTTTTGAGCTTTAAACCAATGTTTTATCTCATCAACGTACCAGCAGTTGTGTTTTGTTTCCTTTATTATTAGGCTGTTTACATTTTATATTTAGTTCTGAGGTCAGATCCACTGACCCACAGGTTTGATGTGTGATTCCTGCTCCGAAGGATGAATGCTGTCATTTGATAAATATCAAATCAAATACATATGAACAGTGTGACACTCACAATGTTTCCATGCCTGCCAGGAAAATCGGAAAACCTAGGCCTTTTCTAATTTAAACTGACTTGTAAATGCATGTAAAACTGGAAACTAGGATTAAGGTGTCGTGAATCTCAAAGATCTCAATAACATCTGGTGAAGTGTGTACGTACTCAGATATCTGCTGCATGTAACAGCACAGTCTGATTTACATTAGGAGAGAGGCTTTTAACTGCACAAGGTAAGAAATATTATACCTAGAAGCACCTGCACAGCTCATAGTCTCCTTTTTTCACCGTTTGGATTCTTTGCCATGCTGTAGACTGGGACTTTGCTTCAAAACTTCTCAGACTCTTTCTGAGAAGTTTTGAAGCAAAGACCGTTGTTTAGGGCACTCTGAATTCTCTGAATTTTGCATGTAGACACAGTGAGTGTCTCATAAAGCAGCCTAATACAGTGACAGCAGACCCTGGTCCACGCTGCACTCACCGCTCAGCAGCTCCACCCAGCTCTGCACCGTCTCCGGGGGCTGGGTCTCCTTGATGTGTTTAAGGGCCTCGTCCAGAAGCACGTCTCCAGTGGGTGCGTCAGATTTACACAGCACCTGCACAGTGAGCCCAAACACACACATCAGTGCACAGCAATGCATTATGGTTTAGAAGGAAACACTGTACTGGGAATTCAACCATTAGACGGACAATATAACAGTGAACGAGGTATGTTTGATTCAAGAGTCACATCATATTATATATTAAATATACTTTTTAATACTGCATTTAAGATTCCAGAACATGTTCATTGTTTCTTCTCATAGTAACCATGGTGATATCCAATCTCATGTAAGAGTGTTGTGGTAGAGCGGCGTGTGCACATTGGCAAACTGTCCTGTGAATCCTCACAGGACAGTTTGTGAATAGCAACGCATGTCAGTAATCTTAAGGTAGGAGTTGGTGGTTAAGACTCGTACCTTCCGGGCCAGCAGAGCCTTCCTCCTCATGCCGTTGTTCTCCAACTGAAGGCGTCCTCTCAGAGCCAGCTCGATAAGCATGCAGCCACGCAGCCCAGAGGAGATGCAGTCATTCCAGAAGGAAGTGTAGCCCTGCACACAAACACACACACATGCACGCACACACGCACGCACACACACACACACACAGGAGCACATACACGCGCGCACACACACACACACACACGCACACACACAGGAGCACATACACGCGCGCACACACACACACACACACACGCACACACACAGGAGCACATACACGCGCGCACACACACACGCACGCACACACACAGGAGCACACACACGCACGCACACACACGCACGCACACACACGCATACACACACACGCACACACATGTCAAGTTTCCATCATTTGAGGGGATATTACATACATTAATTTCCTGGAGACTAATGTTTGTATTATTTATGAAAACATATTAAACCAAACTAAAGTTTCAGACACTTCCAAGGTAACATAGACCATTTCTGTCATTTTATGGAGACCTAACATAGTTTTATAAAAAAGCTCCATCCTCTTGCTCAAATGGCTCTTGCTGTTCTGAATCTGACAGGGAACAGGGAAACAAACTGAAAATCAGACTTGAGGTAAATCCAGAGAGAAAAAGCTGTTGTAAAGGTTATGTATCTGTGTGGCTATGGTAGAACGCTGTGACCAAAGGGTAAACGATGTACTCAGTACAGACAGTACTAAAAACACTCACAAACTTTAGTGTGCAGTGAAAACACATAATGATTGTCAGAGGATGTGGGCGTGGACTTGTCTTACTGTAAAGCAAAGGGCAGAGGCTAAAGTCCTGCAGCTGAGGCACTTTCATGTATCACAACGGTCTTTAAACTTTTCACAAGTACCACCAGAAGAATCTTTGGCTTTCTGAGTGCTACCACTTCTCAACCCGGAATAAACCAGGTTTACAATGAAATTAGACCAGGTCTAGAATGACATTGAACCATGGACATGGATAACGATTAACCTAAATGAGGACAAAAACATCAACTGATTTCTCTCTGTACCACTTTATAACTTAACTTCGTTAGCTTTAATAAAACATGAACAAAGACTTCAAATAGTTTTAAGAATGAGTCAGGGTTAGTAAAGTATTTTGATAAACACATATCGTATGTAGTAAGTTTCACTATCACAATCAAGGAATAGGGAGCAGTCACACTCTTTTGGTCCTGGTTTGAGCCCAGTTCTAATGCACTTTGTTTGACTTTGTTTGACTTTGTTTGTTTAGTCCAGGTTTAGTCCTAATTTTGGTGTTGTGTATGTGCAAGTGTGAATGTACCCCAAATCTCCAATTAGGCTCAATAGCCTAATTAATTCCACATTGAAAAGGCAGATTCTGCTGCTGTTTACCGCTGTATAGACTACATAGATGAGGGTATAGACTACATAGAAGAGGGTATAGACTACATAGAAGAGGGTATAGACTACACAGAAGAGGGTATAGACTACACAGAAGAGGGTATAGACTACACAGAAGAGGGTATAGACTACACAGAAGAGGGTATAGACTACACAGAAGAGGGTATAGACTACACAGAAGAGGGTATCTGCTCTGGTCTATTTCTATAAAGTCACAGTTATAATCGCAGTAGTTTCCAAAGACCTGGGTTGGATCAGCCTCCAGTTTTCAGTTTAGGTCTGTTTGTCCCTGTCCTTGTCCTGGCGGAAGGACACTGGTAAAGTCAGATTTTCTGCAGGTGTAGGACAGTAGGCTGCTTTGAAAACTGAGCTAATACCGATTTACTAGACCAGGAGACCAGGCTGAGGCTAGTCCTGATGCTACCCATCTTACACACATTAAACCAGGCTCACCTCTCGGTCCTTGAGCCCCAGCAGCAGCACTTCCTCCATCAGGGTGAGCCGTGTTTCTTTGGAGTCCTCGGGGTCGCTGTCCTCGTCCGTGCGCCGGGCCTCCTCCTCCTCCGGGACCGCTGCTGCGCTCCGGGAGGCTTCAGTTCTCCGCTGGACCAGGCCCGAGCTGCGCTGAGTCAATGAGCTCATGACGGCGTAGAGCGGGACCTACAGCGCTGTAGCACCGGGGACACGCTAACTTTACCGACCGCGCTTACACCCGTCCCCCCGCACACCCACGCTCATGGACCCGCTGTGTGCACCGCCCGGACACACGGAACACACCATTGGACAAACCCAGGGACTGTTGACATCTGAGGGGACAGTACAACATGGCGACGGCGGCTGCGCAGAGACGGCGCAGACAGAGAGCACCAAAACCTAAGAATCAGATGTGCGGCCTGGAGCGGCCTGGAACGACCTGGAGCGGCCTGGAACGGCCTGGTGCAGTCTGGTGCAGCCTGGAGCGGCCTGGCACAAAATGGATCAACATAAAAAGTGTGTTAAGTCCGTATTTTGAAGAGGTAACAAGTCTGAGTTTGAGCGCGGTCGCTCCGGAGCGCACGGGGGCGCAGTCACCTGATCCAGCTCTTCGAGTCTACGCCGGTAAAAACATCACGTGACGGGGTCAGGACGGTTCCGTAACTCGGTGACCGCATATCAGCAGGCTCCGGAGTCACGGGCCCGGCTGCACTGTCTCCTTTTACCTCTCGCAGAGGTCCCTTTACCCGCCGAAGTCTTCCGCAGCGTGTCCACTCTTCCTGTCCAGTGTGCTGTCTGCCGCCGTCCCTGAGGACACCGGCGTACGGTCTTCCGCAGTCCCGGGCTCTCTGACCAGCCCGGGATGAGCGCCCTGAGGAACGTGCTGGCCTCCGCTGTCATGATCGCGGTGCTGGGAGCGGGCTACGGGATGTGGGCCATCATTTCCCCGGACGAGTCTCGCAGGAGAGAGATGCTCAGGGTCGGTCTGCACACCTTGTCTTACAACTCCATGTGTTGATGTTGTGCAGAGGAACACTGCAGATGACCGTGTCTGTTTACACTGGTCATGTTAAAGATGTGGCTGCACTTTGTGTCAGGTCACCGTGCAGGGAGTGGATGGGTGTTTTTACACAGGGACAGGGACGTGACTTTGTTCACTTGAACTCCAGACAGACATAAACCATGTCCATGATCATATGGTCATCACTGCAGTGACCACCTGTGTCCACTGGAGGGCAGTGTTTAATAAGAACTGCAGATGGACATTTCCAGCGCATACAGTCTATGGACTAGATACGCTTGAACTAATTAATTCATTAATATGAACGCAATTTGACCCATATGATAATATTAATAATAAACGACAGTATTAAAGATGCACTGCGTAACCTTTCTGGTAGTGGACCACATGCTTCATGATATTCTTGTTTGTGTGTGTGATGCTCCAGGATAAAGAGTCAGTAGGTTTTGTGGTTTTGTGCTGCTTTCCCTCCACCAGAAAAGCGACGCACTGCACCTGAATGTGAATGCACAGCATGTTTACCGAGTTTGCACGAAAATTGCCTAAAAAAGGCTACAAACCACAGATGGTTCTATTAAAACACCATGTACACAGTTCAGCGGTGAAAAGTGGATTTGTGCAGTTGCACTTGAAGGTAAACCTGCACAAGAGCTCAGGTCCAGCTTGGCTAACCCTGCTCCTCTGTGTGTAGGACCTCCCTGAGGCTGACCCTCACAGGATGGATGAGTCCAGGAGAAGGACTGCTCTGGTCATGCAGGCCCTGAAGGAGGCCTCAGAGACCAACGAGAACATCGCCCGCTCCAGATGAGCTCCAGTTTTGCCCCAGGACACCAGGGCATGCAGGACTTCATATGTTACTGTAATATTTGTGACATGAATAACTTAAGTTGTATTTAAGTCATGTGTACAGTGGTGTATGGACATCATGGACTTCTCATTTACTGCCTTTAAAATGTTGCAAAATATGGTGGCTCTTTGGCTCTCTGGCTCTTTGGCTCTCTGGCTCATTGGCTTGCTGGTTCTTTGGCTCTCAGATTTTTTGGTACAGTTTTTGATCAGATCTTAAGATTAATGATCGTACGTGTTTTATTAAAATGAAATGTCTTACCTGTCATGGGCTTTTAGACTTTCATAAAAACATCTCTGATGTGAGGGCAGTCACCTAGGCAACAGCAATAACATCTCTGTATAGACACATGGAAGACCCCCCACAAAAGTTCCATGGAGCACCATGGAGCAGCATGTATGTCCTATAATGTGTCTCCTCCTGATACTCCTTTTCACGCACTTCTCACTGTCACCAGCAGAGGGAGCCAGCTGCACGCCTCTGCGTTACTCACACTTCGAGTTCTTGTTTAATTTTTACAGCAGGTAGAGACTCTCACTAGTGATGTAACGTTTGTGAACGAGTCGGCTCTTTTAAACGGCTCCATAACGTGAATGGTTGGAATTGGGTCTTTTTAAGATATTTTTTTATACTGATTAACCCTGAACCAACACACAGCTCACAAGTAGAGTACAGAGTGACAGTTTTTTGCTTTTTTGCACACACACAAAAAAAAAACAACAAAAAAAACTTCTGGCGTAATAATAATAATAATAATAATAATAATAATAATAATAATAATAATAATAATTTGATTCCAATTAGACGCAGTTATACAGGATAAACTCAGGCCCATCACTGTCAGAGTCTTGGACATTTGTCTGTCGTGAGTTTGAGCACACATCAGATGAGTTGTCAGAAAAGCTTGTGTCATGTAAATAAGCTAAAAGCGTCAGTCATTTGAACGGCTCTTTGAAATGAGCAGATCCAAAAGATTTGGATCCCATGAAAGAGCCGAAAGTTCCATCACCTGCCTGTCCTCTGCCGGGGACACGCGCTCGGTCCGCATCACGCAGGCGCACTGAACCCACTAAAAGCGCCTTGCTAAAGAGTACAAGATGCTGGATTTGTTACAAAGCATACATTCCAAAGGCACTTTATTTGTTCCTCCCCCGCAGCTCAGGGGAAACTCAGATTCGGATCATTCATTTGCAGCACAAAGAGAGACCCTGATGCCCTCCCCGCGGGCCAGAGCTTCAGCAGCACGGTTTCATTCAATATTCTACGCATAACATAACATTTCATTTGGACTATTTCTTCAGCCCACGTGGCTCCTCCGCTCCCAGCAGCCCCGGCACGCAGCCTTGGCCCCGGCCGGCTGCTGTGGGCGTCCCTGGTGGGCGTCTGAGGGGCCCGACCCGCTCCCTGGCCTCTGACTCGTCTGTGACACAGCAGCAGTGATAGCGGGCTCCGCTCCGTCTAAAAGGGTCCGGGGCAGCCGTGGCAACAGCCGTGCCTTTATCCGGGAGCCATTAGCCGCCCCCCGCGCGCCCCCCTCCCGCCCTCCCGCCCTTCCCCCGCCTCTCCTCGCTCCCCCGACACGCGCGCGGGCACACAGAGCAGCGCTCCACGCCTCGCGCTGTGGAGGAGGCGCGCCGGTGTCACGCGTTTGGCTCGAAAATGAAACTGTGCGTCCTCTGCGCCGCGCGCGCCGAGAAACACGCAGCATCTGATCCTCCCGCACGCGCATTTCACACACAACTACTGACACCCAAAAGCTTTTTGCAGCGGCTCCTTTCTGTCATTCATCTGCTCTTTGTTTATTCCACTCGAGTCAGGACGCGCAGACTGAACACGCGTCCCTCCGTGCGCGTCCAAACACCTGAAACTGCACAAATCATGTGTTGAATCCAAGAGATTTAATCATGTCAGTCGAGCGCAAATGTTTCACACGTGCATGATGAAGAGGAGTTCATTTGTCCAGTGATAACGTGTGACAAAACAGAGCATCTTTTTTTTTTTTTTTTCTAAAATGAAATTTGAAATTAGGCCTCACACCTCTGAATCACTTTGGTTCAACATGATTTTTAATCCGATCTTTTTAGAACTTTTAACTTGTGAACTTCCTGTCACCATTTACTCATCTGAAGTTGTATTTGGGGTGGTTCATGTTTGAGCAGCTTTAATCTCTTATTTTCAAGACGCCATTTTGATGATCAGCTCCTTTTGACACCACGTTGTTTTTTTTTAAACACAGAACACAGCGGACTTGTTTCTGTGAAGTCATTTTCTATTAAGTCATTTTAAATAAATAATTTATTTTAAATGTACAGATTAGAATCTAATGATCCACGGGTGTGACGTGCACACGCACACGCACTTTCAAATAAATCTCTTTTCATTTATGAGTAACAAAGCAAATTCAACACATTTGTTTAACATGAATAAATGGACCGTCGTTTCTTATGTTTTTGTCATTCAGAATAAATCAACATTACACTTATTTATTTGATGCATTTCTTTGGTTTATTTAGCAGAGACAGTATATATTCATCAGTATTTCTGTAAATGTTCCAGAATAAACCAGAGGCTGTTTTCATCTGTCGTCTCTGGACACACGGTCACAACAAAAACACAACAGAAGAATTGGATAAAAACAGAACAGTTCAATTAAAGGCAGAGAGAGACTCGGTGAGTGAAGGCCGTGTTTGATTTGAACAGGTTATCTTCGTGTATTATGACATTTCAAATGAAAATGTGGACCGGCTCATTTCTTTACAGTGAGTCAGTGTGTGTATGAGACCATGAGGAGGAAAGGTTCACATGTCTGTAACACACACTTCAGATGGGTTACACTGAACATTTACACAGAGCGTTTGAGCAGGGACCCAAACTCAGAACACAGAACACAAATGAAGCTCTCCTGAATGAAAGATGTGGAGCTGCATCACAACAAGTGTCAGAGCACACAGACGAGTACACACACACACACACACACAACACACACAACACACACGGACCATCACACACATATAACACAGTCCTGTCATTAATGTGGAAAACTACATTTCATTTTCTAAACACTAGTTTGTTGTTGTTTTTATTTTCATCGTAGCATCAGGATCAATATTAAGTATCAAGTCTATTCATTATATCAAAACTGAGTTTGAAATTTTAGTAATTAAACCTCTGTCTCTCTTTGTCTCTCTCTCTCTCTCTCTGTGTCTCTGTCTTTGGGTCCGGTCAAGTGGTAACGGAGGGAAACAGGAGCAGATTTTTGACATTCAAATGTCTCTTATTCAGAAACTAGAGGGACTATTGAAATAAGTAAAGTATCAGAATGTAGGAAAGAGTTAACACTCCAACAGGATCAAGTTAAACCTGTGATATTCTTTCAAGTTGTTGACAAAAAAAAAAAAAAAACTCATGTCGGTAACGGAGGGAATGAAATATGCAGCACTTTTTGGGCAATAAATCCAAACAGTGATAACTAGCGGTTCTCACTTCCATATCCTTAACAAACTGGTTTGAATATTTGCTTCATATAGTTTTCTACCATATGGTACAAGATTAGGTTGAAAAACCTCTTACTTTTTGAGTCATGAGATTTTTTATGAAGAAAGGCCATGGTAACGGAGGGAAAAGTCACGGAGAGAAAAGTGTTCAAGCAAGTAGAAGGTGCAGGATTTTACATCATTTGTCAATTTTTTTTTTCTGAATACTTTAATATTACTTCAAAATGAAAGGAAACTATTTCTATAAAATATGTCAGTCCTTCCAAGCAAATTTTTAGCATTTTAAATACATTTTTTTTGAAAAATCACGTACCTTCATCAACAGTTCAAAGCTGGAATAACACAAGATATGATGAAATACATCCATTTATTGACATGATTTGCAGGTCTTTGAAATTTGGGAAATAATTTTTGTTCCATGTTTCATACATGGTCTGTTTAAAACATATGGAACTTTAGAACCAAAAATGGTACAGAAAAAAGGTCAACAGTTTCATAAACTAGAGTACATATGTATCTGTTCAATACATTTTTATATCAGATGAATTAACTTGAATTTTTGGCCTTGCTGTTTACTTCTGCTTGACCTTTGTCTCTGTCTCTGTGTCTCTGTATCTTCTTTCTGTTTTGTGTCTCTCATCACTGGGCCTCAGCTCCTGCTCTCTGTTGTTCTGAGCTACATCACGTCTGTGCTGAGGAGTCGGAGCTGCACCATCGGCTGTGATGTTCTGATGTTGGCCTGATGTTGGCGTGATGTTAGCATGGTGTTGGCATGGTGTTAGCATATGTCGCGCGGGTCCCGTCGGTGCTGGCCCTGCGTCGGGGGGCTGTGTCTGACATGCTTTAGCCTGTGGCGTGCCTCTGCTCTGGACGCTCGGGGAGGAGAGCGCTAAAACTTTAATGCAGACATGAGGCGGAGCTGTCCGACCGCGTTTGGCTCTCCACACGGGCCCTTCACACCCAGCGCACCCTCCAGCTGCAACCCCCACCAAACCCCCACCCAACCCGCACCCAACATTTACAATACTACACACTAGGGCTGGGTATCATTATGAAGCTGCCGATACGATACAAACCTCGATACACAGGCCACGATACAATCATATCTCGATACATAGGCCACGATACGATACACACCTTGATACATAGGCCACGATATGCTATACACCTCGATACATAGGCACATACGATACCACCGATACGATATACCTCGATACAGATACATAGCCACGATACGATATATACCTCGATACCACGATACGATATATACCGATACATAGGCCACGATACGATACATACTCGATACACACGATATACACACGATATGATACACACCTCGATACACAGGCCACGATACAATACATGTCTCGATACATAGGTCATGATACGATACATACCTCAATACATAGGCCACGATACGATACACACCTTGATACATAGGCCACGATACGATACACACCTCGATACATAGGCCACGATATGATACACACCTCGATACATAGGCCACGATACGATACACACCTCAATACATAGGCCGCGATACGATACACACCTCGATACATAGGCCACGATACGATACACACCTCAATACATAGGCCGCGATACGATACACACCTCGATACATAGGCCACGATACGATACACCCCTCAATACATAGGCCAAGATATCGATACTGTATCATTACATTAAATGATACGATATATCAATATTTAGATATTTTTGCACACCCCTACTACACATTGATCTTCTTTTTCTTGTCCCATATATCTGT